TTTTTTTTGAGATGGAGTATCACTTTGTCACCGGGCTGGAGTGCAGTGGCTTGATCTTGGCTCACTGCAACCTCCGCCTCCCGGTACACAACCTGATTCTGACCTTCTAGTCCTTGCTAGACTGCTTGCCTTCCTTGTTTCCACTGCCACCGCCAGCAGCTAGCTTTCTTTTTGGGGCCATTTTCACACAGAAAAGCAAGTGCGTAACCCTTTATGTGTATTATTGTGTATGCAAAAAGGACCAGAGGGTAGCAAGTCTTTGGGGAGGGGAAGAGCCTGGGTGGTTGGTCAGGTTCACCCTCTAGCTGTGTGGCTTCTGCCTTTTGCCTGATTCCAGTGGGGCCACAGCTGAATGACAAACTTGCACACTTGTCAGTGACTCTGTCAGCAGAGCCTAGGTTATGCTGCAGTAATAAGCAAGCCCCAAATCTCAGTGGCTTAAAAAAGCAAAGGATTTTCTCACTGGTGATGCACATCTAGTGCAGGTCAGCAGGGGGCGCTGGTCATGGCAGGGGCCCAGGTGGTTGGAGGCTCCAACTTGACTCATCCTTCCATGATTGCCGGGGTGGGACTAAGAGAAAGTGATGAATCACACCTTGGCTCTTAACACCTCCACCTGTGAGTGACACTTCTGCCAGCATCTCATTGGCCTAGGCTTGTCTCATGGCCACACCTTACTTTGAAGGGAACAAGGAAGTAAGTACATGCCTACCACATGCCCAACAAAAGAACAGAAGGAAAGAAGAGAATTGGAATATTTGTTCTTTTATTTATTTATTCTTTGAGACAGGGTCTCACTTTGCTGCCCAGGGGCTGGAGTGCAGTGGCTTGATCATAACTCACTGCAGCCTTGAACTCCTGGGCTCAAGTGATCCTCCCATTTCAGCCTCCTGTGTCGCTAGGTCTGCAGGGGCACACCATCATGCCAGGCTAATTTTTAAACATTTTAAAAATGGAGATGGGGTCTTGCTGTGTTGCCCAGCCTGGCCTCAAACTTTTTTTTAAATAGCTAGTCAGGCGTGATTGTTGGGGGAGACAATGTTACATCAGCTTAACAATAACACTCAGACCAACTAAGTCTCCAACTTCCAGCATCAAGCAAACCTCCTGTCTTGGACTCCCAAAGGGTTGAAATTATAGGCCTGAACCACCACATCTGGCCATATTTATTCTTTCAAAAAACCCAACTCTTGATGGCATTTTAATTGATGTATAATAAAATATGCACATTTAAAGCCTACAGTTGGATAAGCTTGACACACGCGTATACCCATCAATCCACCACCACAATCACCATAACGGAGGTTCCATCACTGCTGGAAGTGTCCTTGGGTCCCTTTGCCATCTCCCCACCCATGACATCCCTACTCCTCGTTCCTCAGACACCCACTGATCTGCTTTCTGCTGCCGTATAGATTACTTTGCATTTTCTAGAATTTGATATAAATGGAATCACACAGCATGTTCTCTTTTGGCCTGGCTTCTTTCACTCAGCATAATTATTTTGAGATTCATCCATGTAGAAGAGGAATATTTGTGATATCTACCACAGCAGACTTTTGAATTAATGAACTTTATTCTTTCCAACAAGATAACTGATGCGGGTTGAATTCTATCCTTCTCCACCCCCAATTCACATGTTGAAGTCTTAATCCCTTGTACCTAAAAATGTGACCTGTTTGGAGATGGGGGTCTTTATTTTTATTTTATTTATATATATTTTTTGAGATGGAGTCTCACTCTGTTGCCAGACTGAAGTGCAGTGGTGTGATCTCAGCTCACTGCAACTTCCGTCTCCTGGTTTCAAGTGATTCTCCTGCCTCAGTCTCCTGGGTAGCTGGGATTACAGGCGTGCGCCACCATGCCTGGCTAATTTTTGTATTTTTAGTAGAGTCAGGATTTCACCATGTTGGCTAGGTTGATCTCAAACTCCTAACCTCAAGTGATCTGCCCCCCTCGATCTCCCGAAGTGCTGGGATTATAGACGTGAGCCAACGTGCCCAGCCTGGAGATGGGGTCTTTAAAGATGTAACTAAATTACAATGAGGTTGTGAGGATAGGTCCTAATCCAACATGATGAGTGTCCTTATAGGGAGGGGACATTTGGACTCAGACAGCTCTGAAGGGAGAACGCCACGTGAACATGAAGACCTGCACACCGAGGAGAGGCTGGAGCAGGTCTGTCCTTCACAGCCTCGGAAGGAACCAACCTGCCGGCACCTTGACCTCAAATTCCCTCCTCCTTGTCGAACTGGGCGACAAGGCATTTCTGTTGTTGAAGCCACTCAGGCTTCGGCAGTTTGTTATGGCGGCCCTAGCGAAAGAATGCAGTCACTTTTATTTCCAAGGGAAGCAGAGTTAAATGAGATCCCTCAAGAGGTCTTCCTGCAGTATCTGGGATGTGTCTACGTGTGCGTGGCCAGGGCCGTCTGCACGGGATCAGCGTGCGGAGCTGGCAGGCACCTCTGTGTCGTAAATGCAGACATCCTGCGTCACCCCTTAGGCATCCAGGGAAGGAAGCAGATACAATGAAGCTCTTTACGCTCCAGGTTCTGTTTCTTCTTTGGAATGCTCGAAGGCTTCCTAGCTGTTCCAGGTTCAGGCCTGGCTTTCAAGAGGCTGCAGGCAGGAGTGGGGGAGGAAAGTGGCTGAAGCCAGTCCCGAGTGTCTCCAAGCCCCTCAGAAAACACACTGGTGGCTCACGCCTGTAGTCCCAGCACTTTGGGAGGCCAAGGAAGGCGGATCAGGAGGTCAGGAGATGGAGACCATCCTGGCCAACATGGTGAAACTCCGTCTCTATTAAAAGTACAAAAAAATTAGCTGGGCATGGTGGCACATGCTTGTAGTCTCAGCAACGTTGGAGGCTGAGGCAGGAGAATTGCTTGAATCAGGAAGTGGAGATCACAGTGAGCCAAGAT